CAGGGCCTGGGGAATCGGTGTGCAGAGAGAGGAGAGAGAGAGAGAGAGGGGGGAGAGGGGAGAGGGGAGAGGGGAGAGAGAGCGAGCACGCCCACCGGGGGTTGGCGTGACTACGTCATACACAGATGACAGGCTCACGCATGCGCACAAGGGCTTAGCTGAGTCATAGTGGATGTAACCACTCATGTGCACACATGGGTCACACAGAACCTTTTAACATTCAGGCACTTCTACCTGAGGGCTTGTCTGCACATGCATGGCTCTAGAACTCTGAAGTGTCAGCCTTATGGGAATGAATATGTTACATTTTAAATTTAAAATTATATCTATTAGTGTGTGTGTGCGCATGCGTATGCACGTATGAGTGTGCATTCCTACACTCACATCTTTGACTACATGTGTTGTGTGAAGGATTGCTTTGTGGAATTGATTTGCTCCTTCCACTTTTATTTGGGTTCTGGGGATCAAAGAGATCACCAGGTTTATGCATCAAGTGCCTTTACCTATTGAGCCATCATGCTAAAAATAAAAGTTTTCTTTAAATCAAGAGATTTAAAGGAAAATTATAATTTTTATCAAATTTCAAAGAAAATTAACATATATGCATGATATATGCGTGCAATATATATTATATATGTTACTAAGTATACACACATATTGCATATATGCTTGGAACATATGTTTTCCTGCATTCGGCAGCTTTTTAGCAGCGTCCTTTGATGGCCAATCATGTCAAGGGAGGAGATTCTCACCCCAGTTCCTTTTCTTTTAATTCACATTTTTATTTTATGTATATGGATGCATACCACATGTGGTCCTGGTGCCAGAAAAGGGTAATTCCCTTTGGGAATCCCCTGGGACTGGAATTACAGGTGGTTGGAAGCCATTATATGATGCTGGGAATTGAACCTGGGTCCTCTGGAAAAGTAACTGGTGCTCACAAACACTGAGCCATCTCTCCAGCTCCTCAAGTTTCTTCTTTCATCTAGTTCCTTCCCAGTACACCTCATCTCTTCTGCTTGTATCATTTTTTTCCCCAAAGGCTGTATCTATATCATGTCTTTTCTCATGTCTTTCCTTCCCATGGTCATTTTCTTTTTAAATGAAAATAGTTTTTTTTTAATATAATATATTTTGATCATATTTCCCCTCCTTCATCAACTCCCCAATTCTCTCTACCTCCCCACCCATTCAATTCCACACCTTCTTTCTCTCTCTCTTTTTAGAAAATAATCAAGTATATGAAACAAACAAGCAAGGGTAGAACAAAACAACAGAGAGGGACAGAAAGAAAGAACAAGTATGAGAAGCACATACACAAGCAGCCACACACCTGAAACCCATTGAAAACACAAAATTCATTGTATTTTTATACTGACAAGGTTTTAATATACTTACAACCTGATGTGTAATAATAATTGTCTTCCATGATGTACAGATTGAGTCTAAGAACTGAACACAGTAATGAATGGTTACCACTAGTCTAACTGTGCTGTGTATGTTTATATGTATTTGTGTGTGTTTGTGTGTGTGTATGTATTTCTGTTTTTACTGTGCAATCAAGAAGTGTGCTTAGAACTGTAGAGGGGAAAGCATCGGTTCACAACCATTGAGTGTGTGCTGCTCAGTGCAAACTATTTCAAGAGTTATATCAAGCAAAGCTTGGTACCAAATCATGTTGTATTTAGTTTGTTTTATATTTGAACCTTTACATTGAATATAGCCTTTTGGAGGAGTGGTGTCAGAGACCATGGGAATATACAGCAGGTAACAACTAATGTTCAGATGTCAACCCACCAGAGGAATGATTCTCTGATGGAGGAGAATCCCATCTAAGCAGAGCCTATGGGAACACAGACTCTGGAAACTGTTGCTCCTGTCTGTCATTTCACATTTGCTAAAGCAGTTATGGTGTCTCCCCAACACCTGCACTGTAGTGTATAATTTCATATGATATGTATTTGTAATCTCATGATTGTTTCTCAATCTTATGGGCACAAATACCTATGGATGGTCAGGAAGATGACTTCTCAGTAAGCTGTATAATTTTGATATATAGAAAAATATACTAGGATATGCTTCATAACTATATCTATTGTCCCACGAGGACTGGAAGACACTGAAAAGCCTACTTTGTTCCTTTACTCAAACTACACACAGTTAGCTCATTTTTACTTCAGAGCAAGTTCAAACTAGACTGAATGTTTCTGTAAATGGATCATGAGCTAAAAACTTTACAGATATGCACTTGGCCAGAGTTGCAGATGTCTAACCAAGGTTATTAACACAAAGCAACCTAAAAAAAAAAGCCAATTCGTTGCTTGCCAAGACTGGCTGATAAGACCTGACTTTCTATACAGATCACTCTGCAGCATATCTCACAGGGTCCTGTGTTTCTGGTCTCTGGTCACAGTCTTATACCTCGGACCTTGAAACCTTGCACTGCCATGGTAAATGGCTCAGCTCCTTATCAGTTACCCAAGGAATGTGCTATGACCAATGAGATGCAACTCTTGTAACTTTTTTCGTATTGACTCAAGCTTCCTGTAAAAAATATATTTAAGCCAGGTGAACAAAGAAGCAAGGGAGAATTGGATAGAATTACTCCTGTCCTTAAAAGGGACAGCTTGTACCATATATAGAACCCAAATCTCTTCTTAGGAGAGGCTTGAATTATTCATTAGATGTTTCTAGTCTGGTATAAGCATTTTTTTTCCCTATGGAGGTGACATGCTTTGGGTATGTCCATGGGTAATTTTTCTTGACTGTGTTAGCTGAGGTGGGAAGATATACCCACTGTGGGTAGCAACACTCCCTAGGCAGCAGATACTAACATGTCTAAGAATGGAGAAAGTGAACTGAGCACTAGTGTGTATCCATCCTCTCCATTTTGTTGTTATTCTGGGGTTCTTTTGTTTTTGTTTTTTTAGACAGTGTCTCTCCATGTTGTCTTGGAACTGTCTATGTGCATCAGACTGGCCTTGAACTCACAAGTGTTGGGATTAAAAGTGTGTGCCACCACCACCCAGCTTTCTTCTCTGTCCTTGATTGTGATCTAGTGTGACCAATTCTCTCAAGCTCTTGTCTTTTGCAGTGACTTCCCAGACCTGCCTGAAGGACTGCAGACTAGAATTCTGAGCCAAATAAATTTTTTCTCCTTTAAGTTGCTTTTCCCAGGATATTTTATTACAATTACAAGAAAAGAAGGACACACTTTGCAAACCTGGGGGTAAGGCTGGAGAGACAGCCCAGTGGTTAAGAACTCTTGTTATACTTGTTCAGGGTCTCTGTTTCCCAACACCTACATCAGACTGTTCAGAACCACCAGCATCTTCCAGGGGGATCTGATGCCCTCTTCTGGCTTATTCAGACACTGCATGTATATTGTAGTCATGTCTGAAGGTGACGTCGTAGGTTGAGTATTACTGATATCTGTCCTATGGATTCTTCAGCCAATTAAAGGGGCTGTTGTGATGCCACCCCCAAGTAACCAGACCCGGTCAGTCTTATCAGCTCAGTGGCTGGAAACGACTTTGATTCTTGCCACATTGTTTTGACCAATAAAGGGGGACGCCAGGTTGAAGCTGCCTGCCTCTTGAATCTGTTTCTGGACACGTCTATCTAGTTCTCTTTGTGAGAGGCTTTTGCAAGAAGGATTATTTCTTTGGTGAATAACTAACCAGTGTTTTTCTAAGAAGCAATGGATGTGTATCTAAGAGTTAGCATATGTATATTTTAAAAGAAAATAAGAAAAGTGTTGAGGAAGAATTCTTAAAGAAATGAAATGTTAATATGAGATATTGATTAAATTGATAAACTTTTTCCAGTAAAATTTTTTAAAAGAAGGATTGTTTGTTTTTTAACTGCGTCTTACAGTGGAAGAATTTGTGATTCAAAGACACACAAAAGTACAGGTAGCGTTTATGTTTGATAGTAAGTCTGAGCTAAAATAGTTGTTGCATACAAAGCAGAAATATGGGCCATCGGGCTCTATTTTCATATTGAAAGTATAGAACCTTTCATGTCCTATGTTAAATACAAATACATACTATATTTTGGATAAACAGGGTTTTTTTTTTTGGTTGTTGTTGTTATTTTACTCTGTGATGCCCTTTGTTCTTTTCCAAGGGTTAATCCAAACTGGAACTCAAACTTGCCAATATTCTCTCATCTCGGGGTTTACAGACTCTCACTTAGCAAAACGAGGGTGAGACAGAGACTCGGGAACAGCCCTGGCTCTTTATTTCCTGCCAGGTAACTCCTCCCTTGCAGAGTGGAGCCTTGTTTCCACGACTCTCAGTACCTCTCAGCGCTCTTCCCAGTCTTGACCCAGTGACCCAGTGATCAAGAAGATGTCATGTTAGTGCCTACTAATTAGAGTGCTCAGAGCACCTCTGCCTCTGGCCTCTCAACCTTTTGGAAGTGAGAGCACAGGCTGTCACTCACATCAGGCAGGGGAGGGGGGATGAGCCCTCCCTGCATTTGCCCTGTTTTGCAAAAAGCAGGATAAGCCCAGCTGAGACTAGAGACGAATATGCAGGTTAGGAAGAAATTAACCTAAAACGCACTGCTGTTTGCATGATCGTCTCAGATGACACCTGCCTTCCGTGAAGTCCCCAGTCAGGGTGCCCCGTGACTGCATCCTCAGGGGTCTAGCTTTTGCAGCACACTCTCAGCTCTGTGCCGTCATTGTCATTTGATGAAGTCATTTCAAGTGAAGGATATTCTCTGCATAAAAAATGAATTAGTGTTTCAGTGCACGGGAGTTTCCCTGTCTGTAGACACATTCTTGGAGATGCTAAAGTTAGTGGGTGAGGATTTGGTTCTAGGGCTCATTAATCAGTGTTGTTGGGTCAGGGTCTCCTGAGCCTTCTGGGTTCCGGGAGAATCAGCTTCTGTAATTAAAGGGATGAAATATATCACAGTCACAAACTTACCACATCGACAACTGAGGGGTTTGAACTAGTGGAATTAATCTCTTTAATTTTTTTCCCCCTTAGGTGTTTAAAATAGAAGTGCTAATGAATGGAAGAAAACATTTTGTTGAGAAAAGGTACAGCGAATTCCATGCCTTGCACAAAAAGGTAATCTTTGGTTTTATGTTTTCCTCCTTTTCTCTGTGTGGGGCCCATGATATAATGTTAAGATTCCATCCTGTGTTCCTCAGAACATTGACTGTCTGCTGTGTATGTAGTTTCTTTACAATGGCATTAATTTCCTTTTAAAATCAATTGTCCAGTTAGTGTGTTTGGTTTTTATTTCCAAATAAGTGGGTTTTCTGTCACAATTGCTTGCATATGCACATCTGCGGTGAAAGCTGTTTGCAGTACATTGCATCAAATATTAAAGGTTTACAATAAGATCAACGCCCTCATCTGTCCAAGAAATACATTTAATGTTCTTTACTAAAAAACACAAAAAAATCACTATGCAGCAAGAAATTTATTAAATTCAACTTAATTGTTGTGTATCTAGACACGCTTATGTATCTACACGCATGTGTTCACATGGAGCACATGGAAAGAGTCCCATCCCCCGTCCCCCGCCCATGGCTGTGCTCAGAGTTGTGAAGAGCAACTACACCAGAATGATCGGTGCTTTAGCTCTGAGGTCTTTCTCAAAGTCATGGAGTAAAGAAACAGAAGAGCAAAAGAAATAACTGATACTCAGGAAGAAATGATCACTAAGGAATTGAAAATAAATACTTAAAAAACCCTCCAAACCAGGCTTAATTTTTTGTGGGTTATGAATTACTTGGGTGCTAAATTTTTTACAATAATTTGAAATACCTAATGAGTGTAAAAAAAATCACAAGTGAGGAGTCAGTTCAAATTTATCATTTTTCTTTCCACATATCTGTGACTAGGAGTATATCATACATATATGTATAAATCACTTATATATGTATATAAATGTTATATTCACACATGTGAAATATATGTATGAAACACATGGATGCATGCCATAATTAGTTGGGCAAGAAGCCAGAAATGGGTTGTTAGGAGAGTCTTTTAGTTTTATGCTTTTTAATGTCTATGTATTTATTCTGGGACACATCACTGCATAAAAGATGTCATAATGTGTTGATTCTGAACGAAAAGGCTTTTAGAACATTGTGAAAAGTTTTCCACTTTAATCAAGAGAGTCGAGAATTAAGTCTAAACCGAAAGATTAGTCAGCCTGTTTGCCTGTTGTCTGTGTTGAGATTTTTGTCTGTCTAGTTTCAAACAGGGTCTCACTCTGGCTGGCTTAGACTCTACAGGTACCCCTCTGTTCCTCCTCCTGAGCGCTGGGCTTGGCCTGCACCACCAGGCCCCCTCCCTCTCTTCTTCTTAGAGATGTTCTAAACTTTTTTTTTAAATGATGGCAAATCATTTGATTAAGTAAATTTAATTCTCCAGTTAGCATTCCATCAAGTTCAGGTTTCCTCCCGGAGAAACCATGCAAATTCCTACAGATTTCCATCGGATGCTGCCTGGCATAGCACGACTAATGAAAACCCAGAGACAGATATTGGGGTTCAACCTGAAGGTCAGAAAAGCGAAACAGCCAGCCACTGGCTCTTACCTCTGCCTCAGTCTGAAGTAATGATCTTGCCTCCAGGAATCCTCAGAATGATACTGTGTCTGAGAACTGTCTCCTCCCTTCTCTAGGGCCGGGATTAAAGGAGTACACCACTACTGCCCCGTTTCTGTGACAAGCTAGTGTGGCTACTGGGATTAAAGGTGTGTGTCACCACTGCCTGGTCTGTACAGTTGACTAGAGTGGCTGTTTTATTCTCAGAACTTCAGGCAAGCTTTATTTATTAAAATACAAATGAAATATTGCTACAGCCAGAAGACTTGTTTTTAAAAAGCACCAGCCCCAGGGACATCAGAGAGAAACAAACATAAAATTGGAGTCCCTCTTCTTCATGGGATTCTGTTTTGTTTGGTTTTAGGAGCAAACAAATTCCTCTAGGACCCTGGTAAACTAAGTCCCTATGGAAGGTTGAGGTCAGGTCTCTCTCCATCTGCACACAGCTTCTCCCTGCCAGTGTAGCCTTGACCAGCTTGTCAGATGCAAGCCCCTTCCTAACCCACTGGGTCAGCATGAAGTACTCAGCCACCAGCACAACCCAGCTGAGCTCTCCAGATACCAGGGGATCAACCCCATAACAGACACAGCAGGGTGACTGCCAATTAGGCTGGCCCTGTCCATGGGGCAGCCCACAGACGCTACTTGTGTGCAGACCTGCTTGCTCACGTTCTGCCCTAGGACATTTTTTTTTACCCTCTCGTCAGCAATCAAGCATTGTCAAAACAAACAAACAAAAAAAATTCTGTACTTTTTCTTGGACTTGTTCTTTCAATTTCTGCAGTTCTATTATTTATTAACTTTATCCAGTTTCTCATAATGAAGCTTGTTAGAGTAAATTGAGGAGTAATTCTCAAATCTCTGTGACAGAATTTAAGACATCCTTCTAGGCACGTGAGCTCCAGTTTGGGAGCAGGGACAGGCTGTTGGTAGACCATGCTGTTTGACTTTGTGGGACCGCCAGTGCCGTGTTAGAATTGGTAGACAGGCAAGGCCAAAAGGCAAATGCGTGCGTTAGTGAGATGTAAAAGTGTGTATCCCTCTGTAATCTTAACTTTAAAACTGCTCAGAAGCACCGTGGCAGTAAGACTGAATGGCTTTAAGGCGCTGCTCCCCACCGGGCAAGCCTCGTCATCAAGCTGTGCTTTTGTCCCCCTCTGATGTGGGGTTCCCCTCTGTATGCTGTGAATATGTTTTATTACCATTGGTTAATAAAGCAGCTGCTTTGGCCTATATCAGGGCAGAATAGAGCTAGGTGGAAAAACCAAACTGAATGCAGGGAGAAAGAAGGTGGAGTCAGGTAGATGCCATGTAGCTGCCAAAGGAGAAACATGCCAGAACCTTACCAGTAGGTCACAGCCTTGTGGTGATACGTAGATTAATAGAAATGGGTTAATTTAGGATGGAAGAGCTAGCTGGAAATAGGCCTGAGCCACTGACCAAACAGTGTTGTAATTAATATAGTTTGCGTGTGATTATTCGGGTCTGGGTGGCCAGGAAATGTAAGAACAGTCTTTGCCTACAACCCTACACTACATAGACAACACACACCAAATATGCACACACATACACACCACACACTACATACACACACACCACACACTACATACACATACACCACACACACTAAATATACACATCACTTATACACACATCATACACACACCACATACATACACCACACACACACACACACAACGACAATGCTTAGAACTAACAGTTCAAGGTTCGGAGTGTTGAAGGTCCTTCTGACTTTTCTCTTACCTGACCTTTCTAGAATGTCACTAGGTCCTACCATCTCATTCTTCCGCATTCCTGCCATGAGCACCCCTTGGTTTTTCACTGTCACCCCAGAGTGGTGCTATTTTGTCTTGTGTCCACAGTCTGGCCCTCATCTTTTTCCCTTTTCTCTACTCCATGTGAGTTTGCCTGCATCTCCAGACCTTTCTCCACTCTCACTGATGTGGGCTTGAACTGTCTACCGTGCCACAGATGGTGACTCCCGGGACACTGTTCTCAAACCTTGTGTTAGTTCCCCATTGCTGTTACAGCAAATAACAGCAGAAAGGACAGCTTAAAACAAGGCACATTTATTATCTTGTGCTAAGTGGGTGGACAGGGCTGCATTCCCATAGGAGAGTCCGTTTCCTGCCGGTTGTAGCTCCAAGCAGCTGCCCACATTCCTCGTGGCCCTTTCCATCCTCGAAGCTGGCAGTCACTGTCCTTCCTGCTCCTGCCTCCCTCCTGTCATCTCCTGTCTTCACAACCCACATTGGGCCCATCCCAATAATAATCCAGGACAGCTATTCCGTATCAACATTCTGCATTTAAATCCTGTCTGCAAAGCCCCATTCTGCACAGGAGCACCACTCATGGGCTCTGGGGATGAGGGGGTCTCAGGTGTCTTTGAAGGCATCATCATTCTGTCCACTTCCAACCACCTACTGGCCAGCCCTGTTTCTGCTGCTTCTCCTAAGAAAAGTTCCTGTTAGCCACACCCAAGGACATCCTGTAGAGGCCCGCACTTCCCTGTCTTTGCCAGGCTAAATGCCCATCATCTGCCCGTGTGTTAAAAACAAAGCAGGACATTCAAGTTCTCCAGCGCCAGCTGCCTGTTTTTTAATCTTTTATTTCCCCTTCAAACACCTGTTCCATTTAATATAGACATTTCTACTTAAACAATTAAAATTATGTCTTAACACAATCAAAGCTTCGTTATCCCACATCTCCAGCTGGGTTCCAGGTTCCCTGAAAGCTCATGGTTCCCTCACAGGCTACAGTGTCAGGTGTGTATTGCTGCTCCTGCCCCCTCCCCCACCGGCCTCAGTCTTCTCCTTTGTATTTTCCACAGAGTTAACTATCTGCTGTCTGGGATATTGGAGAGCATCATATGTGTTCTGTGTGAACGTTTATGTTATTGGAAATCTGACCTCAGGTTCCTCTAATCTCAGTTCCTTCGTAGTTTCTGCTGTGCCCAGAGGAGGTAGGGGCAGCAAATTAAACAAGACTCCATTCTGTTCTTTGGAACAAGGTGTCCCTTGGCTGAGGCACAGGCTCTTGTAAGGGTCGGCCTTTAAGTATGTGAAGACACCAGCCCCGTACCCCACTCACACCTACCCCTGCCAAGTCACTCATAACTTTCCACGGCCGTGCCTGCAGAGGGCTGTGCTGTCCCAGGCCCCAGACTCTGCCCCACACTGCAGACTTCTGAGCGTGGTTGGCTATGCTTTTCCAGCTGTGTTCTGTCAGCTCCAGCCCACCCCTTTATTCACAACGTTTTCAGGGAAATATGGGGCTGGCTCATTTTCGAATTAACTATCCTCATCCTTTGTTATTGCCTCCTTAGGGTTTGAGTCAAATATCGCGTTCTCTTTTATTCAATGTAATGAAGTACACATTTCAGATGTATCAGAAAACTACTCTGTGGGGTCAAACCAAGAGAGCAGCACCCCTGTACCAGCCCTGAGGGAACCCTGAGAAGACTGAGGTGATAGAATACAGGAAGGGT